TGGGTTGGGTTGGGTTGGGTTGGGTTGGGTTGGGTTGGGTTGGGTTGGGTTGGGTTGAGCTGGGTTGGGTTCGGATGGATTGGGTTGGGTTGGGATGGGTGTGGGTGTGGGTGGGTGGGTGTGGGTGGGTGTGAATGTGTGTAGGTGTGGGTGTTGTTTTCTTTTAAGTCACACCCCACAACCCACACCCACACTCGAAAAATGAAAACTTAGCAAGGCCTATCATTTCATCAATGCAAAGATCTGTTTTAACACGCTGTCGATTAGTCATTCTTCTTATCATGTTTCTTCTACTAGAATATCAATAGAATAAAAATTATGATTTAAAAACATCTGCGGTTTACAAAAACATTAAGTGAATAGAAAAAAAAAGTTGATATTTGCATTATGTGCAATTTTGCAAGATCTATTAAACACTGTGATTCTTTAACGGTTCGGTGATTATGATATAATATCAATTGTTGAACAACGACACTTGTTCAAGCGTTCGACTGTTGCCAAACTTCTCTTGAATGAAATAAAAGACTCTTCTTATGTAACATAAGCTAACTAGATCAACAACTCTTGGTTCTCTGAGTTATTCACCCAATAATCCTTTTTAAAAAAACGCAAGTCGAAGTCTACTCAGTTTGATTGTTGAGGAAGAAAATTCTATTTTTAAAGGACTTTTCCATTGCATATTGTGACAATTAACTTATTTAGTTAAATAGATACAGAAAATAAATTTCATTCTGTTTCTTATTGATTACGAAAAAACAAAGAAATATTCTATACATTCAGTCGACATTGTTTTTTTTTTCTTTGCTGTGTTCTTTCACTCGACCGTTCGACACACAGTTATTGTAATAGACCAATTTGACGCATGTGTTCTCTCTTTATTTTTCTGTCATCCAATATGTTGAAATAAGTAGTGGGATACATAAACTGAAGAATAAATGTACATATATTGACACAATAAAATATTCTCCTTCTTATTCAATACATACATCGTTTATTAGTTTCGTACGGAAATTCAATGGCTCTTGGTACATCTGAACGTTTAAATATGTTTGAACGTATTAAATCTGCATGCACACAAAAAGAAAAACTTCAAGTAAGTTTTTATATTTCCAAACGTAAAAAACACACTGATTATTTTCTTTCTAGATTCTAAAAAAAGCTATTCAAGATGAATCATCATTAAATGAAGAAATAAATTTTCGTGCTTATCGTGTCAATCTTTTGTGTGACATTGGTGATTGGGAAAGTAAGTTGGTTCGCTTGTACTACTAAATATATTTAATTTTATGTTTTTCTCAGAGGCATTACTCGACTTGAAATTCATCGAGAACATTGATATGATGATGGATTCATTATATTTTACAAAATGGTAAGACATTTCATTTTATCGCTATATTTGTATATGATAAATTTCTTCATACGTAGGAAATGTATGATGCAGTGTAACATGGCTGGAACTCGACAAGAGATAGTAAACAGACTCTACGATAAATGTAAGCTGCTTTTCTTTTCATCGATATATATATTGTAAAACATTTTTTAGCAATTAATTCTGATCGACATATAGCGTTGTTGGGTCGAATTAGTGAAGAAAAAATTAATCAATTAGTTAATGGTACGCTAAAAATTTTACTAAAGTTTGACAAATCATTAAATTATTTTTTAGAAAATGAAGCACTATGTACTCAAAGTCAAAAACGAAGAAGTAAATAGTAATTGGAAATTTCTCATTTTGGTTTTCATTTTTATTTGTATATTGTTACATTTTATGATTCATGTATGCTGTTTTGTGTTCTATTAAATAAACGAAATATTTTGTTAATGATTGATTATATTTGAAACTTAACTTTGGCAGTGAAGAGTCAAATTGAATGATAACTAATTCCATGGTAGTCATTTGCATTTCTCACACGATGATTGACTGGAATTCTCTTCATGATTTTTTAGGAATATGCAATGACAAATATACGTTTGATACGATAATATTCATGTATTAAACTTCACATAATATATTAGTAGCTATTCGTTTTAAAAACAAAAGAAGGGTGTGGGTGTGGGTGACACTTTCTTCCTAATCTCACGCCGACACCCACAGCCTATTTAAATAGTTATAACGGTTTCAATAGGCAAGAGTCTTTAAATATCTGAGTAGACTTCACATAGCTAAAGGGAGGCTCAAAAAACAATAGGGATGGTTAAATAACTTTAGAAAGATTTAAATACTCAAGCATTCTTTAAAAAGTTATGGAGAGATTAAATAACTCTAGTATGGATATTCGCGGAAGAAATTACATGTCTATTTGTACTAAGTCAAAGTTCTAATGAAAGGCAAAAAAAATACTGTGTCCTCACATTATGTAAACGAGGGATGTCATAATATCCGGAACTCGGGTATCGAGATTTTGAAACACCCAATATTCTTCAAAAGTGAGGATTTTGAGTGAATTTGGTGTAACGAGATGGATACCCTATGTTATAAAGTTGAGGATTTTGAGTGAATTTGGTGTAACGAGATGGATATCCTATCGTTCAAAGTTGAGGATTTTGAGTGAATTTGGTGCAACAAGATGGATACCCAAAATGGATACCCTATCTTATAAAGTTGAGGATTTTGAGTGAATTTGGTGTAACGAGATGGATACCCAGGGTGGGTGTGGGTGTGGGTGTGGGTGTGGGTTTGGGTGTGGGTGTGGGTGTGGGTGTGGGTGTGGGT